CGGCATGCCGATTTGTACGCCTGATCCCATCCTCTGATCAGTCGTGATCGCTGACTGAGGGTGCCACAGACTAGAATCCGAGCGACTCGATCAGAGCGCTCAGATATGTCATGAAGCCTGTCCGCAGATCAATTTCTAACAGAAGCTCACCGGAGCCGAAGAACGGTCCGCTGCCGAGGCACACTCGGCCGAGTGCGGGGCGTCCCGGATTTGGAGCCGACCGCTTAGCAAAAATGGGAGACGGGCATTGTTGGCGGTGACAAAAGGCCTTTGAGGAAGACTTAGATTTATGACTTATGTCAAAATAAAATGCACCCAAGAGGGATAAACGCATCGGCCTATAATGCTTCCTTAAGTACGTCAGTCTTTTCTGGAGGATTCCATTATTTAGTACCGATATGCGATCTGAAGTCTGGCGCCAACGTAGAACTCGCTTCTTGATTCAAGCAATACTCACGGAAAACTCAATCTGACGGACCCCTACGCGCTCTCAGCTACTCTAATAGTTTGGAACCCGATTCCATCTCCTCAAAAGAAAAATTAATCAGTGGAACATCGTCGGTCTGCACGGAGTGAAATCATCGTTTATTTTGGAGAGCAGGATTTTTTCGAGTCCATCGAGTTCGAGATTTCATAGGCGGCAGATTAAGCTACTCGGGGAGGAGGGAGCCTGAGAACCAAAGTCACGAGCAGTCCGGGTGAATCTCTTATGGAGGAAATGATGAATTCGACGGTTTGAAGAAATAAACTCCAATGAAAACAATGTGGCCAGGATGATGAGCCCAAATGAAAACATTTCACGTCATCAATCTAACGAAGCTTTCAAACTTCGCCGAGTCATTCAGCTATGGACTGTGCAAGAAGAATCAGTCGGTCCCTCTGTGCCTGATGCAACGAAATATTCGGCGCGACACAATCGAACATGAGGAATTTCCGAAGTGCCCACGATCCGCAATACCAAGGATGAGACGGTCGCCATAAACACTGCGCGTACGGGAAGATCCAGAGAAAAATTGAGACTGAGCTTCACCGAAAACACTGAGGCCGCAGCTCGCTTCCCTTGCTCCCAGGGTGGAGAAATGCCCGACGCAGCTTTCGTGGCCGTTGCGGTGATCGCTGCTCGGCGACTTCGACTGCGAGGGAGAAGGAAGACATCCCAGAAGAAAGAGATGAGGAAAGGAGGTGGGAGAAGGGAGAAACGGAAGGACTGCCCGACGATCGACGCTAGAGAGCTCTCGACCCATATGACAGATCAGATGTGAGTTTGGAACTCCCGGCCTCTACCAATATCAGGCCTATGGTGACCGGTCCTCCCTGAATGGACGAGACAGAATCACCTACGTCATTTCCGGGCTCCACTTTTGGAATTCAGTAGACCAAGCGGAAATTCCATCCAAAACTCCAGAGCCGCACAAATGCACTGGGAGGAATGCCTGAATCCTCCCGTCCATCGGAAAGCCCAATTCAATTTGGATCAAGGATCGATTGCAGTTGGTGCCCGGAGCGAGCGGGAGCGGTGATTTCAGCTTGCGAACAAGCGTGGAACCAGAGTCGGCAGCACTTCTGCCGCGGCGAAAACTTCTCAACACGAGTTTTGTTGACAATGCCGCGACAGTGTGAACAGCGGCATCAGAACACGACAACAAAAGCAGTGTTTACGGACTCTTCGCACTTTCGAGTCTAAACAACCACGCCCCCAAAGTTCGGCTCTTTGTTGCGACGACGACGCGACGCTCGAGTCGTAGCTCGATCGCAATGATGATGTCCCGAAGACGGCTCCACAGATCTATGGATCGATCTAATGGAGTGTACCTAACACGCTGACCGCAGACACAATGGGTCGGCGGAACCCTTCATCTTCGGTCGCTTTTCTGCCTTTCATTAAAAGACCGTTCGTTCGTTCGTCCATTCATTCAAGCGCTTGCTTTCACGACGCGATCATCGAGTCCTCAGGTGGCTATCGGATTGAACGCTTCATCTACGGACTACAACACATTGCCCGCTCCAGGTGAACTCAAATCACTGCCGCGGAGAATAGCGATCGATGCTTTGCGCGGTCCGAGGTTCTCGAGAAGGAGCTCCAGAGCTCGATAGGGAAGCAAGCCATCTCCGATCATGTGGGTACCTGTCGGATGTCGTTGACAGCTCTCATCTTCTTCCGTGAGATGCGCGCCAGCATGTTTAAAATGTTTAGCGAGCGACTCCCCACAAAAGAGAAGAGGATGTTGGACCAGCATCACCACCACCGAATCTTTGTCTGTTGCGGCATCACCATCATCGGAACGAAGGACAACGCAGTACATTAGAGATGAAACTCGAGACGGGCCGACGCCACGCCTCGATGCGCTTTTTTTTCATTGCTCATTCCATTTTCGGTTCGACTGACTCAACGAGCGAGAGAATGTTGTTGAATAAGACGCCGCACCGCCTCCTCTGTGTTCACGGAGCGGAAGGAATCTCAGCGTTCTGAAATAAGTAATTCGTTGCGAGGATATCCGATCCCGCGGTGATGTCTAGACATCACCTACCGCTAACGCGATTACAGGCCCTGGCTACAGTCCTGCAAAATCGGGAGATGACGGAGCTTTCTCGTCTCCGGACTCAGCTCTTGCCTCAGAAGCAGCATCGAGAACAGCCATTTGGAGCTCGAGGCTGAACTTCCTCCGTAGGGAATTTCGAAGCCCACCGCAAAAGACCATTTCCACTGTCGATCAGCCGAATAAATGAAAGCACCGGAGGAGCGAGCTGGTCGCTCGTACCGCCAGCCTGCCAGCCCGCGAACGAGCGAGTCAACCTACCCCAAGGACTTTTCGCTGCTCTCCTGAGTCACTTACCAACACCCCTGTCGAGTTCTCCAAAGTCCTCCTCCAGCGTTGCGACTAATCGCCTCGGGAGATCGAACACAAGTGAATCCGTTCAGAGGAAAGCGGAGCGGGTGCCTCGTATTCGGAACGAATGGTGGACCAATCCGCGTGAATAAATAACGTGGGAGTCCCTCGGTCGGCCTCACTCCAAGGGACAAAACTCCAGCGAATGTCGACTTCTGTATTTAGAGAGGCTCCGCTCGAATCGGCACGGAAATCGGGAAACGCGATCTCGCGCAGAGGAGTAATTGGGGGGGACTAGAGATGGACTCATGCCCGAAGGACAGTGTCTCCGGACCGATCCCCTCCATTGGCCGGTATCCAAAATCCTCGAGCTGTTTGACCGTCCCATAATCGTCTTACTGCGCCCTCGGAAAGATTTCTCTGCCTTCTCGGGATGATCTTCTCCCTAGAAGATTCTGTGTCTCAGATACGTGTCTCGGAAGCTCTTCAAGTTTCGCCGCCGGCTCTTCCTCCTGAGGTTCCCACGAATCATCGGAGTAAATCATGCAAGAAGCTTTTGGTGTTATAATGAAGCGAGAAGAATTAAGAAATTGCTCGCTCACGCCCTTCGTGTGGTGGGAAGAATAAATGTTAGCAGAACACTTAGCGGAGCAGCGATCCGAAAGCACTACCGCTCCATACTTAACTCGGCACGAGATAGCAATCCATATCGCACGTGACCGAATGGGAGAGCCCATACCTCCGGTAGTTCGGCTTCTTACGAACTCTGTCTACTCACAACGCGAGTGCGCTGATTTCCCCTCCAAGAGTGTGCGGTGAATAATGCAAACATCGAAGCGGGACTGCTCTCATGAGAGTTCAACCAGTAGAATTTCTCAATTTTCCGCAAAACCGGGAACGCAGTCGGATTTCCTGTGTCAACCAGTCTCTAGCAAGAAGCCCAACCGACCTAGAGTGCGGCGAATCAGGAACTCAGTCTCTCTGAGAGGAGCCGCGGCAGTTCTCGCGCTGATGTTCGCGGACGGCCGTCTTGTCCAGCGTTGGGGACGTGTCCCGGATCGTGCCAAACTCCAAAGTATCACTCTCGACGTCCCTGACTGGGGCCGCCGACCTGCGAAAATCATTCCCGGATGCTCGGTGCGGGAAAATCCTTAGTACGACAGCGTAGAGTTGATAGACGATCATCAAACCCCATCTGACCTCTGTCCGAAGACCTCGGTGAGATATCGAATTCGAATCACGTCAGAACGAGCTGCAGACGGCCGCGCCCGCCGACCATGCCGATCTTCCGTCATCATTGACGCTGTCGGATCTTTGATTCCTTTCCTCAAATACACTATTGATATTAGACGATTCCCAAGCCGTGAGTGACAAAGTCGGTATCTAGAGAGGACCGCCTCGATACCTTCCCCACGAAAATGGAGTCGACTCCGGGCTGAATTGATCCGAGTCAAGTGCTCAATCGTCATTGCAGATATGGTCGAAATGCATGACAGAACTCCACGAAGCTCAGATACTACGATCGCCATATCGTGTTCGACTCTAATGTCTGGGCTTTCCCTTTTCTCCGTCCGAGCTCAAGTGACGACTCGGATGAAGGAAAGTCTCGCTGCGAAACTTGGGAAAATTCTGGTCTCCGTCTCCAAGTTCCCTCAACATCCTGAGTTTCGAGAGATAGATCTCCCGAGGATACATCTGTTCGGGGGATAAATTTCAGGCAAGTCGACGGTGAATTGATTCGGAGACGACAGTAGCGAGATGGAATATGAAGAATACGTTTTTTCCTCATTCGGTCGACGCCGATATAGCCGAAGGACTCTGAGCGATACGAGTCATTTGTATGATAGAGGGTTCTAGTCTGCCCCAGCGAGATCTGCGGACCGAATATTCGAGGGAGCAATGCTAAGCAGAGCTTCATTAGAGTACACTTGGCTGGTCGGACTAGCCGAGGGGCTCCCTACACGACCGACTAGCCACCCCTCGAGCTTCCCCCGTCTATTCATCCCCTGAACTCTAGCACCTCCTAGTGGAGAGGAAACCTCTGGGTTTTCACCCTCTCTTGGCGCTCACGAAGTCTCGTATAAAAGCGGGAGAGCATAGAGTACAGACCTAGTACTTGCACGAGATAGCACTTCGATCTCAGCTTTTTGGATAGCTCAGCAGCACTTCCCAATGATGCTCACGGTTAGTATTCTAGTTCGTGGTGACTCGCGGGAACTCATTCCTGGTCGTCTCTCTTTATGGAGGGCGTTCTCCTCTTCTTTTTATTTTCTGCTTCCCGAACATTCTTTGAGCGACGAATCTCCCTTCAGATGGTTCAACCAGGCTGTACAGACATGTACTCAGCCGGATCTTTCATCTACTCTGACGAGGATATCAACTCACCGACTTCGTCCGAAGACCTCACGGATGAATCCTGCCGGAAGAGGAAGATTCGGGGAGATGCGACGACGGCACCCGTGGTTCAGCAGAAAGTCAAGAAGACCCGACGACTTCGTGCCAATGACCGGGAACGCAACCGCATGCACATGCTGAACGATGCGCTCGATCGTCTGCGGACCGTGCTTCCGGCTGCGACAGACGACAGCAAGTTGACGAAAATCGAAACGCTGCGATTCGCCCACAACTATATCTTCGCCCTCTCGGAAACTCTGCGGATGTTCGACGGGAAAACCGAAAACTTCAATCAGTCGATCGCAGCCCTTGCACTTCAAGGATCTCAAACAAAGACATGCGACCCCGCGTTAAAAGCCACCGTGCGCGAACAAGTGAACCAGTTGCAAGCCGCCTCGAAGCTTTACACCGACGACGTTGTCACGAGTCCAGACTACTCGGCCAGCACGGGATCACCGGTCAGCCAATATCCCGTCAGCGTAGATTTCAGCGACTCCGGTGCCTACATGAGCGAAACGAGCCCGGTCAGCTTCGACACACTGTATTGATCCCCCCATTCGGATCAGTATTGTTATTCTGTGATATATGTAGATATTTGATGGGGTTTAATTCGATTTGGCGAGATGGAGGGGGCTAGTCGATTGAACCTCTCAATTCACTTGCGCTTCTCTTACCACCAGAGTTCCATGTTATCGTACGAGCAACGACTTCCAGAGTATACACGATTGAGTCTGCGTGTACCTGATGATAATTTCAGTGACGATGTTATTTCCGAGTGAGACGGGAGCGAGAGCTGAACCTAGCCTAATAAACCTGCAGATATATTTTGAAATGAGAAATGAACGGATCTTCTTCCGAGCTTTGCTGTCAGATTTCTAAACAATGATAGCAGGTCTCCAAACCAGCCAAGAGATTTTCGCGGGCCGATCAGTTTTTGTCTCGGCTTCGCGTCGCCTGGGGGACGAGAGCTTTTATTGTTAAAGGAAAATTAATGCTCGATCATCTAAATGATAATTTCGACCTGACGAGGTCCCTCTCGTGTCCCCTGTGGCGAGTAACTCGAAACTCGGCGTCCCGCAGACGAGTGCTTGGCTGGCTGTCCAATGACTCGCTATATGCGCAGCGAGTCCGCTTACCGGACAGCTAGCCGAGTCTCTGTCCTGCGCTGCGCTAGCAAAATATGTATGTACTTCTTTCGAAGAGTATCCAGGTGAGCTTTTCCTCGGGAGAAGTACTGAGTACTCGTCTTCCGAGGCTTGCGGAGATCCTGGACATGGCAATTTCTTGATCTTTTTCGCTGGAGCTCGCACGGCAACTCTAAATGAATTTCACAGATATCCTCGAAGCGCAGTGATTGAACCTTCCCAACGCGACCAGGCAGTTCGCCTCCGCCTCAGAGACCGCGCCTATTAGGTCACTGGTCAATGCAGCTTACATGTACATGCGGCTACGCGGTGCCTTCAAACCTTGCGTCATGAATGTACATATATAGGTCACTTGGATATGCGGTCATACACCGACGAACGAAACTGGCGGCGCGAGCCTTCGAAATGGAAATGTATCATCTTTTTCGCTTTCGTCTACAACGCCTTGACTAGTCCATTACGAAATCGCCAACTCGACCATGTTCATGCGCGGCAAAGGTTCTGCGAGGCTTCCACGAGGGCAATCCCGCCGAATGCCCAGACAGACTCCCAACGAGAATAAATAGAAGAGCGTACCCTGCACTCCAGGCTATACAAGGGAGATATATTTCCATAGCGGGGAATTCGCGACCTGCATCCTCCGGAACGAGTAGTTCGCGAACAGAGCGTAGAACTGGCCATCCATGATGTCGCAAGTCGTCTCGGCCATCTGTGAAGACAGCGGCACGTGCCATATGTCGGAGCGTTCCTCCCGTGTTGCGGCGGCGAGCAAGGAACAAACCCGGTGGAATCTGTTACATATCAATTACAAAGCACAACACAAAACAGTCATCAACATTGACGAGGTCACAGGGAGTTCACGAGTTCTTGCATAGCCAATTTATCATGTACTACCGTTGAAACATCTTGCATTGCAGGTTCTGGGACTCCCTCAGTCGCCGATATCTGTCATCGGAACTCTTCCGATCGGACCGCCCAGTCTTCAGGAGAAGTCTACCGGCTATCCGACAATTCCGAGTTCTTTGGGGAGCCTATCGGTTCTCAATCTCTCGCGGCTGATTTGGCATTTCTCGCGGGGAACGAGACCACGATTCGGATGCTCGGCAGGGAGCTTCCTTGATCTACAAGATCTGTTGATGAGATTTCCGCAATGTACTGACTGACTGATCGATCACTTCGAGCGTATGGAGCGGGTGTACCAACGGACGACGACCTTGAGAATTTCACACCGATTAATAGGGGGCGTCCTCGCATACCTACTCACAGACCGATCTCGATTGCCGGTGTGCCGTGGCTCGACTCATCCTAGTGAATGGAACAGATGTTCAACTCGAGGACTTGGTCCCAGATCGATCGCTTGCCCTTCACGGACTCCGACATTCACAATCCCGACCGTTCCTTCAAGTCGACGGTCACGAACGGTCTCGAGGGTTCCTCTCGATCAGCGCGACTCTCGGAAGCTTTCCGGATGCTCCTGGTGGAGAACATCCGGACCAGGCCGAACGCATGGTGGTTTTCTGAATGTTCTCTAAATGAAACAAACTCCAATGGATCCAAGAGAGTCGGCTGACGGTTCTGACCAAGAATAATTCATTGAGTTCATTTGTTTCTGTACTCGCGAGGATGTGCCGGGAGACGAGTGAGATCCAGCATTCGTCCTCGAATGATTTATTGAAGGGGCATAAGAGCACTTACATCTTAATATTTCACATGGCACCCAACTTTGCTGGAATGTTGTTCTGTTGGATTATGAAGTAAGCCGAAGCCAGTTCAGCGAGCAGCGTTGCGCAACATCGACACCTCTCCTTAGCAGCAACCGGTTCGCCCGGACTCTACCAACTAGCTCGGTCGGCGCTGTTCGTACCAGTAGGTAATAGAACGAGACGAACGTCCGGAGTTAAGGTTTAAGGTGTAATTCAATCGAGACTACGGCTCAAAGCAAGGCTCGTCGGGAATCGAACTCGCCCCTTGTTCGTTCTATTGAGTCCTAACGAATTTCCTCCAACGGAGTTCCACGAGTCTCTTCTTGATTGCGCGAGAGACTGATATGATTGTGGGAGGAACGCTAGCGGTCACAGGGCTGGTTAGCTCAATGGTTTCGGGGGTCCAGAGTGGCTGATGATGATTCACTAGTACACCCGCTTTGGCCAGGGAGGGCTGAAGTTGCATTGTTTATCGCAAACAAAGGAATCCTTGACCCGCAATGAGAGGGTACGGTGGTCATCGTTTTTAGCGAAGACCTACTCCGAAGTCGTCCCGCGAAGACGAGCGACCAACCATAGTGCCTATCGAAACGGGGGAAAATCACCTAAAACCCAAAGTTCAGACGAGAAGGTATTCATATGATCGAGGATTGTTACGATCCATGAGTTCCAACTCGGGTATAAGGGCGCTTGGCTGTGCTCCACCCCGGACGGACGGTCGGAAAGCCCACCACGACGTCGAAAAGAAGTCTGTAGTGGAAGTAATGCCGAACGACTCTCGAGCGCTCACTGTCTGCCGGAATTCGAGGACCCTAGACATTTCTGATCGAGGAGATATATTGAAGATCAGGTGGCTAACGCGGGGTTATAATCAGATTCAGGAGGTTAGCCAGCTGTGTGCTGGATGACAATGGGGTCCTGGCAGGATATTGCGAATGAGGGAAGGCGGTGAAATAAGTACCTTCCCCGTAAGGACGAATCTTCGGAACGACAACCTGAGCTCCTACCATGAATTTCCCAGGGAAATCAAAGTCGAATGAATTCGGGATGGAGCCCTCCGTCCTGATAAGTTCACTCATTTCGTCTTTCAGCAGCGATACCCAAGGGCAAGTCCTCGGATGCCTCGGATGTGTTAAAGCTCTCCACTGAGGGGCTGCCCATACGGTCGAATGATCTCCTCCATAGTTTCCGAATCAATCGAATTCCTAGAGAAGAGTCTCGTCCATTCATCGTGGAAGATTTCAGCGCAGAGCGTGTGAAATTCAAGAGGTCCTGCCGTCATTTGGGCGTGTTCAACTAAGGTTCAGAGGTCATCACGCCCGAAAATTTGCGCTGGAAAGGGTTGAAATGACGCTGCTCACGCGGTCGCGAGCGGCAGCTTTCGCAGGGGGGTTCCGTTAGGAACGAGTCTAATACCTCACATTTACAATAGTCGCGAGTTACAGCCTGAATTCGAAATATAACTGCGGACCTCATTTTCGAGGACGTTGGATAATTCTGGGTCTGTGGTCGAGCCCGGGGAACGCTTCTGGTGTCTCGCAATCGATCGTCGCGGAGTCATCGATTCGCAAGCCCGGTAGCCTGATTGACCCGTGGCGATCGTGGAACTGCTCATCCATTCATTGCAGAACCAGTCGTGACTTCCATTGAGGAAGGACGAGATTCCAAGTCAGTAAGGCAAGCGTTGGTCGTTCACCTCATATGAGCCATCCGAATCGGTCAGATCCCATCCGGATATCTCGATCGAACTTCAGGTATCCTAGAGTTCCATAGTCATCGCGTAGGTTTCGACGAAAATCACGATCTGACGACCGAAGGAAGCGCAACGGTGGACTCTCCTTCTGGGAGAGGGTTTGACCCGGACGAAACGGTCCCCGTGTTCCGCACTTACTCTCGAGACGTCACGTCGTCCGTTTCGCCGCGCAGTCACCTCCTCGCCGATAAATTAGCTCGAAGAGATATCACTGAAGCCTGCGCACAACACCGAACTTGCTGCCTTTGTTTTCTCGATATTTCTGTCGCCTAGAACATGAACATCGCTCTCCGGATAATACCGCAGGATTTCTTGAATTTCCCCGTGTTTTTTTCCACGTTCTCTCTTGACGTGATGCGCGATCTCTGGCGACACTTTTTTTTCTCAGAGATGGTGGCTCTCATGTGATAGTACAGACATACGTCCCACGTCACTAGAACGATTAATCCCAGCCCCGGATCTGTCTACGGCGAGCTCGAACTCGCTGGCCGACATTGAGGAGTCGAGAAAACGTGCACCAGAATCCAGAGGACCGATGTCCAGGTGGTGGGACAATGATTGGAAACAAAAATTGAGCTCACAACAAAACTACGACGGCGTTTTTCTTCAATGACAATCCTCGCGGAAAGGGTTGCATGTTGTGAATTTCATTAATCTGGATTAGCGAAGACGAAAAGAAATGTTCTCATCAGTCTAGCGATGGTATGATCGATTAGACGACTCCTGACGACAGAGGCCTCGTCCGCGCGCTCTCGTAACTCTGAGCCTTCGCTGTTGAACGCGGCTCTCAACCACTCACTCAGTCAGTTTAACCTTTTCGAGGCTCCTCAGACAATGGAGCTCCGTCTTCGAGGGAAGTCAGGTGCTCGGGGCCACCGAGCGTTCGCGATCGTGGAAAGGCAGTCGACGAAAAATTCAAAACGGATATGCTGGTTTGAAGCTGCGTT